TAGTGGCAGTGTGTTCTTCTGCAAATGTAATAAACGGCTGTGCTCCCTGGCTAGCTCACGGGAAGCAAGACCAAACGATACCTCCGTCTGCTCGTTGTCTGAACTCGCCACAATATATTAAGTAATCCAAAGTATTCAGAATACGTTACTCTCATTGAGTAACGTAACGGAATACGTTACAGAATACATTTTGGGGCATGTATTCTGTATTCTGTAATGGAATACATTTTAAAAGTAACCTTCCCAACACTGCACATGACCCTACGCTGTGTTCACTGCATCATTCCATGTTTTGGCACTGATCACCACCTGCACTCATGTATATATCTATCTACGTAGCACTTTTAATTCTTATTCTTACTTTTATTTTTTCATGTCTATTTAAGCGCAATTTATGACAGTATGTTTGCACTGAAGCACCGCAGCAATTTCCTAATGTTGTAAACCTGCTCAACATTTGGCAATAAAAACCCTTTCTGATTCTTTCTGATTCTAAAATTAGAAACATCCTGTCTTAGACTCATGCTGAAAAGCTAGTCCATGCACTCTTTTCTTTTCAGGTCTGGACTATTCTGATTACTATTTATTACCATCTTCCAAAACCTTCCTGAAAAAACTTCCAAATAGAGCTCTCACTGTGCAAAACACCACAGTGATACTTCTAAGAGACTAGAAAAGACAGTTTTCCTCCCATTTTAGCTTCTCATCATTGTTTTCTTGTTGAATGTAGAATTTTATTTAAAATCCTTCTGCTTACATATAACGTCCTGAATCAGACCTCGCAGTTTTATATTATTCCTACAGAGCACTCTCAGACTCTTAGTTTTTAAAAGCAGAATGGGAGATAGAGCCTTCAGGCCCCTCTTCTCTGAACCCATCTGTCAGGTTTGCTTCACAAGCCATACACCCTGTATACTTTCATAATTAGCCTTAAAATGTTCATTTTTGAATTTGCTAATTTTGTTGAATCAGGTGAATATGAACCCTCACATACTTATGCTGTGACACACTCAGACTTCTGGGGGACCACGATGCACTAAGCGTTTCTTCTCCAGTCACCTCTTTTCGGTCCTGATCTGTTTGTAGTTGTATCATCTTTCCTTTTACCTCCTTATAGTTGTAAAACACTGTAAATGTATGTTTTCCCATAGATCAGCGCAGATCATTTAAAACTGCTTAATATTCTGTTTGTTTGTTGTTGTTGAAAGAGGAACCAAAGGTGGCAAACCACCAGTGCCGTTTAGAAGCTGCAGAGCTAAACAAAATTCCCATTTGCTGTACTTTCCCATGAGAGGACAGAGATGACTATCGGGAATATTGTGCATGTGTCACTCTCAGCTCTGAAGTATCATTATCAGAGAATTATGGGCAGATCGCCAAAGAGACTCGGTTCTGCATTTACTGAAGATTAAATAAGTTGTTTTGACAGAGATATGCCAGTTGTCATGAGCCACGACCGTGTTACAGTAAATCAGTGACAGTAACTTGAGGAAACTTTGAAACCAGACCAGCATGCATTCATTGCATTATTTAGACCTGAGCCTTCCTTACCGTCACAAATGTTAAAACGTCTTCTGGGGAAAAGGCCTGTCATACCAGCACAATAGTGGTATGATGGGGTATGACTTTGTCCTGGTTGAAATATTGGATAGTGTCATCCTGACCATTGCTCTGTAAGGTTGTGAAGTTTGGGGTCTACTCAGACAGAATTTCTACATGCAGAACTGTGCAGAAACATTTTACACATGCATGGAAAATCACCAACAAAGAACTGTCGAGCCTCCTCTCAAACACTCTGGCTGGTCTGTCAACAACACTGCTTTCCAAACACCAAACAGTAAAACAAATTGCAACACAATGAAAAGATACGTGTCTAAAACACTGGAAACAATAAACTAAATGCAGAGACAGATTAGATTACCTGTGCAGAGATTATGAATTGTTAGAATATCTCTCAACTACCAGCAGAGACGGAGCCAACCAAGTGTAGTTCAGTGACCACAAATTGGCAACTAAACAAGAAACAAACATTCACAGCAATCAAAAGGAAATAGATTGATAGATAACTGTCAAGATCACGCAGGGATAACATGAGGAGTTCAGCTGGAGCTCAAGTACTGGTGTTGTTGGAACAAAAGGGGAGGGGGGGTGAAACATTTAAAGATTCTGAAATTCACTAACCTTTACCTCTACCAGTCACCTGAATTTTGCAGCATTACAGGTGATTGATCAATAATTTAATTTCATGTCCTTTTGGTGAGGCAGGAACTGGAAGTAACCATGACTTAATAAACCAAGAGGACATCAGCTGATGTCTTCAGAGGAGGATGAAGAGCCATTTTCACACTCAGTGCATGACCATTTTCAGACCCTGCTGTATGTAAAAAGTCTTGCCATCATGGCTAAGGTGCAGCTATATATAATATATATTTATATTATGCTATATTCATTTAGCACAACCAAAATAGCATGAAAATAAAAAACTGAATGGCTCAAATTGTCTGTCGGGTCTTTCAAGGGTTATACATACTGAACAACCATAGAGTGACAGGTTCTGAGAAGCATTACATGAGAAAAATACCATAAAAAGCATCTTAAAAAGAAAGCTTGTAGCTCTATTAAATGTATCGTTTTTTCAGTGAAATTCCCAAAGATCCAACCAATACAGTTCTCTGAAATGCTTCTTTAATTGGATATATTTGTCCTCTGGAAGAAGAGCGATAATGAAAGAACTATACAGTGATGGATCTTTTCATGCACAGTGCTTTTTGTGAGCATCTCATCCTGGATTGAAACTGTTGTGTTCAAGTATTTTGGTTAGACAAACACCAGAGTGTTGAACTTTTGTTGAAAATGTCTGTTTCCTCAGAATGTGAAATGTCCGTGGAAGGCTTCCAGCAACGGCGACCACTCCCTCCCTGTCTGAATGGCACGAAGTATAGCCATCGCTTCACCACATCAGCATATTGGTGGTGGGTGGCCTCCTTACCTACTGGAGTTCGCGTCAGAGCACCTGAGGGTTAGAAAAGCTTAGTCTTTATTTACCACCCATGCTGGGCTAAGCTTCTGTTCTACATCTTTAAGGTGACTTACAGAAGAGCACCCCCTGGAGGCGAGTGTTCCTGAAGCTCCTCTTGGCCCACCCTGTTCATCTCAGGCGTGTGTGCATCAGGCGTCTCACTGCATCATCAATAGTAGCCCCGCCCATCCGTGACAGGTAAGACACCCAGAATTTTGACCTGGTGTCATCATCAGAAATCTCAGATTCACATTTTAGGCAAGTCAAGCACGTGAACAGCACCTTTTAATTACCATTCTCTTCTGGACTGCCGGGTCCTCCAGCTGGGTCTCCATCTCATTCAGCTCCTTCAGGGTCCTCAGAGGGAGCTCCATGTCCAGTGCCTCCACCTCCTCTTCGTCGTCGGCAGTCTGACCCTGCAGTCGGGCTTGGATGTCCCTCAGCACCACCCACTGCTTCTGTTGCTCTTCTTTGATCTCCACCAGCAAGGAGATGATCTTTTGCAGAGTGCTGATCTCTGGAGAAGAAAAAGAGAAATAAAAAATTCTGGCTTGATGCTGTGAAACACTCAAGGATGCTGTCATGTGATACATTTAAGTCCACCGTATTTTACTGAGTGTTTGAAGCTATGATGATGTAAAAATGGCTGTAATTCCTAAATGTTAATTGTGAGACAATATTCCTAAAACTGTGTGCAAAAACATTTGTGACCAGGTGGTCAATTCAGGAATATAATATTGATGGCTGTGTAGTGCACACATGCTTCTAAATATTCAGACTTAAAATGTTCTTACACAAGTAAGCATCTTAATGAATGTTTTATGGCTCTTTATATTTCTTATCAGCAAAGACTAATGTCCCCAGTGATATATCAGCTGTTGTTGAATAATGCTCATGCATACACTCAGGCAAACTGCATTCTTCGGTTCGATTTCTCAGTTTCAATGCAGTGTAGTCTCTAACACAAAGCACTTGAACTTCAGTGAAACTGGAGCCCAGACGTCTTGGGCAGGCTGTCCCAGAAAGTAGTTACACGTCCTTGTTTTCTGCCACTGAATAAGTGCGTGATGACTAAAATCAATATTTATTTTGACATTTTACATCAGTTATGTCATGCT